TATCGCTCGGTCAATACGGCAAGGCCTTAGTTTGAGATTTTCCCGTAACGACCTCACTCTCGGTTATTAAGTAGTTAGTAATAAGTATGTCCGGGAGGTTGCTATAAACTTGCTTTAAACTTGCTTTAAGCTTGCTTTATTACCATACAATAGGAAAAAAGAAGTTAATCCTGGCGAGAGCAAAGAAATATCAACCGTTAGTAAACTTAAGGCAAATCAACTCAATGTAAACCCCGCTAGGTTACGAGACTGCACGCGGCGGCTTAGTCGAGATGAGTTGCTCCTCCCATGCGCTCAATGGTGACGTATTCTTGGGAAGGGAGGGGTGGGGGAGGGGGAGACGACACGAGTTGACACAAAAACCGACGAACTATGAACCGACCAACATCAATAACGAAGAAACTTCCATTTACTTTGTCAAAATTAATATCACTCTCTCTTAGCTTTGTTCATGGAAACAAAAAAAGAAACCGTTTCAGGTCGAAGCAGTGGGTATAAATATTTTCACTCAAAGTGTATGAATTAAGAACGAAAAACACGAGTGAAAACAGGATTTAATAACAAGCAGCCTGTTATGTGCGTTTTCCTCTGAAGTGTGAGTTTTTCACAGCCTAATGTAAACCATCCCGAGGTAAGACGTTGGTGCTTGTGTATGTGCGGAGCTCAACAGCTAAACCACATATCCTGAGGATTTCATAAAGATTGATAGCACAAGTAGGCGGGCGAATCTTCTTAAAGAACTTGAAAAAGAAAACAAAACAAAACAAAAGCTGATTCTGAGAAGTTAAGTCTTAAAAAAAAAACTCTGCACCTGTTCTATTTGCTCAATAACATCGAGTTGTTCTGTTTGCCATTGCATTTCTCTTATCTTCTTCCTTCCTCCGTCTTGATTATTCCTAATTTTTTTAGGCCCATTTTCCTTTGTAAGGCTGCCTTGGCAGCTAAATTAATAAAATTGTGCCATTCATTGAAATATTTGCAAATGCATTTTTTTTTTCATTTTGAGCGGAACACGTTCGTCAAGAAAGACGTGTCGTGCAAGAGATAACCTGTACCCATTTTGTTTCAGAGAATTTTTTTATAAACATTGCTGGCTTTTTTGTAATTTTCACAGTACGAAGAGGTTTTACTGACTGTCAAACTTATAAGGATTTATTTTTGTAGGAAATGTTACAATACTGTAATATTGTACCGTCGCTCTCTCGGGCGCGTTTGTCATACCGGCGTCTAAACATGGTTCTAGATTCTCCGCTGTTTGCGCTCCAGGAAGTAAAATGCTTTATCAGAACTCAAGTTAGCAGTTGATCTCTGAAACTTCAGTTTTTCAGTGAAAGTTCTGTCCAGTCGCTTTTAGTTTTCCATACATTTGTCTACGACTTTTTTGCCGCGAAGTGGCGCGAACTTGTGAGCCGCCTACAAGTTCCCGAAAAAAAAAAAAAAAAAAAAATGAATGGAAAATAGAAAACGCCACTGGACTCTATCTAGGGCAGCTACATCTCTCAAAATAATTTGGTCAATGCAATCCTTTGTCCAGTATCTTAACTTTTCCATTCGTAAATTTTTCAAAATTCAATTTTTAAGAAAATTATTTGTCATCCGATATCCCAAATAAATATTGTAATTTCTGTCGCTGTTGCCTACCCGTCGAGATGGCTTTCAAAACCGTGATAAGGTCTATATCGGAACCATGAAAGACCACATTTTATTATTTTTTGCAAATTGTATGCAAAACTGGTACAACGCGTGCTAAGAAACTTAATTTGTCAATTTTTTTTTCCACAAAACTCAGCCATAGTGTCTCCAAGTAGTTCTTCACGCATTTTCATGGCTTACTGGAATTACTGTAAGGCCGGTTCAACTGGGTTCAACTATTCCTTGCGTGTCGGGGTAAGTTGCAGGAGGTAAAAGTTTGCCAGTTTAGCTTCTAAAAGTGAAAACCCAAGAAACAAGTTTTAATTGCCCGCATTCAACGTGCATCATATTGACTTTAATAATTGCTGCAATGTGGAAGTGTTTGTGGTCAAAGTGGTTTGTTATTTTTAGAGAGCGTGGTTTTAACGCAAACCACGTTTTAAACAAAACAGGGCTGATATTAGTGTGCTTTTTAAAGTGATGTCCACACTTACGAAACAAAATTGAAAAAACATGTTTTTATAAACACGGGACTGATTTTTCGCAGTATTGGTTAGTGTCTACTGACCATCAAAATGAGCTGTGAAGCGTTTGGATCTCAAATAAATATACGTTTATGGATATTCTGATTCCAAATTTGCACTGAGATTCATGTGGGTTTTTCTCTGTCCCTCCGGCGAATGAATGAAACATTACCCGCTTATTAACCTGCTACCACGCAGGTATTACTCTTTCAAGGAGCAGATTTTAAGATACAGAGGAGATCAGAATAAAGAAGTCGTTAAACCTCGTTAATTTGTAGCCTTTGTGCCGGAATTCACAAGTCAGCAAGAGTCTTTTTCAACTCAGTCATTCCAATTCTGCACCGTTCTTAACAGATTACAACTGGTTTCAGCAGAACCGAGTAAAACATCAAACTTATTTTTATATCCGTTATTGTTATCGTGAAAATAATCTATTGACACTGAAAGTAAATAATGTTAGTTAGCTTTTATTAGGCCTTTTAAGTTAATAAGGCCCAGGAAATAAAATAGACTACGAGGTTAGCTAAATTTACTTGCGCAATATATAGAAATATATTTTATTTTGATTGCGCAAATATAGCGCCGAGAAATTATCAAAGATAAACGAAAAAGGAGAGACAATGAGGTGTCAACTTTTCCATTTTAATTTCTGAGATCGCTAATGGCGAACATAGGACTTCTAAGAAGTTTAATGACACGGCTTAGGAAAATGATTTTAATGCCGGCAAACTTTGCTCTTGAAGTGTGAATTCTCGGCAGCTTAATGTAAACCATACGTCACAACGAAAGTGATTCTTAGAAAATGCGAAAGCTCAAATGTCTTTTAAGACGAAAACAAGAAGTTATGATAATTGCCTAAACGAAATAACGTAAATAGAGATGTCAGTACTAATTCGTACAGCGTAGTTGTTTGACCAGATTTACGTGTAAGGCTAAAGGAAATATTTTTCCAGTGGAAAATTCAGCAGCTCAAATCACGGAATTGCAAACTGATTTAGGCTATATTTTACTAAAAGTAGCATAGTCCCAAAATATGCCCCGAAAAACGTCAAATCGGGTGTTTTTCTAGACTGAAACAGGTATTTACAATTTTAATAACACCGGGAAATTGTACTATTCACCATGTCTTTGTTAGGATAATAACGGGCAAATCGACCCACATGAGTAAGATGACAATATTTCACCTAGAGCTAGTTCGATTTTCCACTGGCCGAGTGACACTCGCACCTCAGTCTGTCAGTAGAAGGGACTCAGAGCAAGCGACACTCGACCGTCTCTGAATCTGATCGTTTGCTAGTAATAATTGGTCGAAGACAGGAATATAGACTCACAGGCTATGACTGTCACTGTTTTTATCGATTGGTAAATTGTGAGAGCAGATCCTAACCGGCGTGCGACAGACGGTTTTGACCACTTGATTAATAAAGGGGAGAGATTGGTTAGAATCAGTGGGTTTCCCACTGCTTTCTCTTCGGGTCCTACAGGCTTTCCGTGCAGATTCCCTCGGCAAACTTGATCAACGATTCTCCAAAATTGAAATAAACCATGGAATTTGACAGTGGCTGACAAACACAAAGCTGAAAAGATAGAAGTGTGGGGCTTCTTTTTCCCGCGGGACAAGATAAGAATACAGAACCGCAAGACCGAGAGAATTACACCAAGCATTTCTAAAAACCCTCTGGTCAAGATACGTTTTAAGCGGTTAAAGCCTCAAACCACTACAAGTGCAAAACTGACAAAACTAAGGAGTAGATATATTTATTATTTAGAGCTTGGATCTGTTCGGAAACTAGTAATTACAAATGCAAATACACTTGAGCGCCCGCTTGAGCGCAACCTGCCAAAGCAGTTGTGTTACACAATGTTTCTATTCGAGCGTACTTTCCGGTATAAACAAGTTCACTTCCGTTTCCAAGTCCCGGATGAAAAACTGCTAATAAATCCTAAATAACCTGAAATCATAAACTGACCCGCACAGACCTAATTGAATCGCGATTGTCAGTGATGAGTAGGACTTTAGTGCGTTGAAATGCTTCCCGACCAACGGATTTTTCCTCTGTGGATAACGTACTCTTGCCTGGAAACAATGGTTTAAACATTCCTCCGCACTAAGCATGGGATGAAATGAAAGATAACAACCCGTTGGCGATCCCGACAGCATGGTGGCGATTCGAAGAGTCAAGCGCTTGATTCAGCTTTCGGTTCTAGCTGTTTTGCTCGTCACGTTACTATTGTTTCTTCAGTGGAACGAAATATCAGACTCGGAGAAGTTCAATCCCGTCAAAAGAGGTATAGAGAATCAATTTAAAACGTTAATTTCACCCGTGACTAAATTTTGTAGGTTCGTCACTTATTGTTGTTGATTCTTGTGATATTTCGCCCGCATATCGCGATTTAAAAGTTTTTCACTCGGATAAAACAAAAGAAAGTGATATGTTCTTTTCGTGTTTTCTTCTCATTCTTGTATTTTTAAGGGAAGACGTCCTTGGATGTGGAGTATCGAGGTCTTACGGACCCCGAGCGAGAATTTGACGTGAATGGAATATTGAAGGTAAACAAGGATCTATTGTGGTACACAAGTTCCTGTCAAAAGAACTCGTCCGGTTTTATGTATGTACCCTGAATGATATAAAGCAAGACTTAACTAATATTGATTCACTTCCCGTTCATAATTGCTCAAATAATGTCTAGTAAACGATGCCTTCTTAAACAAGACAATGAAATGTCATTTTCGGAACACGTTTATTGATTCATGTCATCTGCTCTATTACTGTCAAATTCCAACGTTCAATGCTTCTAGTCGGAGTTTGTAGACATCAGTTTGTCTCGCGAAGCAATCGATTTGAATATATATATATATATTTCTAAACCTTTTCAAGAAACCTTTTCATGTAAATGACGAAAGTATCTGCTGTTTTTAGAGAAAGATGTAAAAAATTACTTTCATTCCGACAACCGCAAGGCACTTTCAGCTGCCGCATGTAGAGGAATGTTTGAAGATTTTCCTCGCAATAACAACCAGTATTTCCTTCCCGATCCCTTACATAAAGCTTTCTTATGATTGACAAAGTGGAGTACCAGATATGGCAAGCTGTTTATCTTGTTTCGAGCCACGCTCTATGGCGTCCTAAACACAATTATATATTTTTTTCCATGTTTGATCGACATCCCGGACGCTTTCGACCTCGACTAATGTTTGTTTCATTTCAATTTCATATTTGTGTAAGAGCTTCAAATGTCACGCCAGGTTCGCGTGTTCAGCGAAAACTAATTGGACGCATATTTTGCAAAAATGTAGAGATAAATAACTTGCCTTACGAAGACTCTCTTTTTTAGTTCGTGCATGATCTACCATTAAATCAAATATTTGTATATCTTCCTGCGGTTTTCATATTAATCCGTACCCATATACAAATGTATCGTAGTTTAGTATTATTTCTTGCTCTTGCAAATTTAATTCGTGTCTCTATTGTGGCGTCAAGACTGTATTTTCTTTATCGCCAAACTATTTTGTTCCATTAGCTAGGCTGATTGCACTTTCTCCTCTCGCTTATTTTGGTGGTAAATTAAAATACATGTCGGTGGAATTATTTTGTTTTAAATACTTTTTAAACTTAAGTAATTAAAATTATTTGCAGATTAAGACAAATGTAATTAAAAATTCATTACAATTGGTCACTATTACGAAAAACAAAATAGTTTTTTAAAATCATTTTTCTTTCACTTAAATTACCCAAACATTTTTGTTGAAATGTCACATGTTGTCTATAATCTGATAAGGTTTTTATCAGATTGTCTGCATGACTGGGTAAGGTGGAAATCATTTCTCATAATTGGATGTAGGTGGTGTCTAGAAAAAGTTTTAAAGATTGGTTTTCATGGAATAACAGGCTGGTCACATATATCTGATAAGATTAAATTTTGTTTGAAAGTATTTTATTATTTTGTGGCAAGCATTTTTTTGCAAATAATAATAATTTATTGGGCTATCGACTAAAGTTTTTTGGCAAAAAAATAATTTTTTGTAACTGAAAAACTCTTCCTGCCAACCAGTATTTTGCTTTTCTTCATGCATTTCAAGAAGTGGAAATGCAGTTAAGTTACATGTACTTAATGGAAAGCTTTTAACTATATTTTTGTCCTGTAGTGTTTTTAACCTCTAAAATATATTAGCATGATTTCTATAGCTCAGCCTGTCAATTAACCTGACTCTTTTGCCAGTTAGGAGGTTTTGCTTTATGGACAGCGGACAACCATAAATTGTCTGTCTCAACCTTCTAGAGTTTTCTAATGTCAGATCATACCTGTCAGGATGGCTGAGTGAAGAGATAGTAACTGTAATGGTTGCTGAACAATCTAGAATTTGGAAAATCCCCCAGTGGTAGATCTACGGTGGCTGTCCAGGGATCCCAGCCCCCCTATTTTGTTGATTTCAAAAACAAAATGTAAGTCCATTTGAGCCTGAAAATTTTTCACTGTACCCATCCTCCATTGTGTCTTTTCGAGCAAAGTCTGCATTAGGCTGAAGTGCATTTTACCATTGTACACTCCACCATTCCCAGGATAGGATCTACATTAGTCCTTTGTAGGGTTACCCCCTGACATTAAGCTCTGTGGCGCCTGTGTGGAGAGACATACTATGAGACCCTAGAACAAAACGTAACGACCCCAGCCATGGCTCAAACTTGGACTACTTGATGGGGAGATTGTATTCATTAAGTTTGTTGGATTTGGTTTTTTACCAGGATATACAGGGAAACAATGATGCAGGTAAATACAGAGCAGAAGACTGGAAAACAGCATTTAGTGAAAAAGCCAAGCATCAAGTTGAGAAAAAAAACAATTTCCATGGTGAGTGTTAGTTTCAAAGCTCACTCAATTGAGTAACAGGTTATGTACTTGTTGCTGTAATTTTGTATATACTGTACGTGGGTAATGAGCATTTTCAAGTACATGGTAGGACGTACCTGACTATTGGTTTTGTACAAATACACATGCATGGCTTCTCTGCTGTGTGAGCAATGATCTACCTCAGTCATCCCTCATTGTTCAAGCAATAGGGAACAAATTTTTCCCTCTCCCCCTTTCCCATTTGTGCAACTTTGGATCAACATAAGATCTTACTCAGCATTTTATTTTCTCTTCCTGTCACTGTTTAATTCTTGTTTGAAGGCAAATGGAAAGAAACTGCAGTTAGAGAAAAGATGGACCATGTAGAGAAGAGGAAACTGAAACAGTTAATGCCAAATGAAAGCCAAACATTAAACATCACTACTTCCAGTACCACGACTCACGACAATGCGACAATTCAAGTATTGACCACCTTGCCGACTGCAGCTGCAGTCAACAACAAGAAAGAAGGATCACCAAGACCTACTGCACAAGGACATGAAAAAGAATCACACACCCTTTATGATCACCACATTCAAAACAACCTTACCAGGAAAAGATTTCCATGGACAAAAGAGGTGATTTATATATTTTTCAGAGCTCTCACTCATGTAGATCTAATTCTAGAGTACAAGGGTGTGTGTTGGGGGGGGGGNGGTGGCTAGATAAAGTGTGTGGGGGAGGGTAGGGAGAGAAGGAGTTAAGGTCACTTCGACTTGGTACTGAGGTGCCGCTAAATATCAGTTTGTCATTTGCATTTTACCTCTTTAATTACCGGAGTCCAAGTAGCTCAAGAGTTATTTCATTTGGAATGGCAATAAGCGGTGGACTTAAGTTTGTAACAAGGAAAGAATCATTTCAATGTAAATTGGTATTCACTTAGCTGTCAATCTACGGGTTCGTATTCCCCTTACATGTACTTCTACTAAATTCTTGATACCATATCTCTCTAGATGCTTGGAGGTCTAAACGTTCACATATGGCAGGCCTGGTGTGGAAGTACAATTCATGACCTGCGAAGAAACAGATTCTTCCCTTTGTACCCGGATGTTCGCCTGACCATAAAGAAATTCTTCCTTCGTCATATGGAAACTGACTACGGACAAAGAATATTTGGCTACATTCTTCCCCCTGTCTCAGGTATTACACACTTGCTAAGTAGAACTTGCCGAGTTACAAAAGGCATCCGTGCGTTTTAATAGCGATATGCTAAAGCTTATAACGTTTAGGTAATGGGAAGTTTAAAGACAACGGGTTCATTCTTTTAGCTGCCGCCTCGATAGATCTTGATAGCCAGCGAACACAGACGGATTTTCGGCTTTTGATTCACGCCGCCGAAATATAGTTTTCAGTATTTTTCGGCGGCGTGAAACGAAAACCGGAAATCCGTCTGTGTTCGCAGGCTACTGCCTTGTCGGAAGATCAAGAAAAAATACATATAATCCACTTTCGAAAGATCAAAGAAAATTTGGCGGTATGTTAAACCAGAAAACCAGAAACCTCACTTGACAAATAGACTTTCAAGAGAAGACGATTGCGAAACTGCTTCTGCTCCCGAACTGCGGAGTAGAGAACCAAATCATTCCCATGATTCCACTGACTCGTAGACAGGTACGTCTCACAGAGCAGCTTTCATACACCAGTCTTTTTCGATGTTTCGGTGCAGAGAGGATGTAATAATGTTTGATATACATGTACTTAGCAGACTTTAAGAAAACAAATCAGTACATTGCCGTTTTATGCAACGTGAAGTTTTGGCGGGGAACATGGAGCAGTTCGACGTGACTGAGAATTAAGCAGCTCGACATGTACTATGGCGGGAAAACACCGCAGAACGCGTACGATTAACAAATTGACGTCACTTTTTCATGCGTCTGCCCTGTTATTGATGTTGAATTTCTTCATGGCATTGTCAAAGTAGCTGTGGATCTACGAGGCGATAGCCGAGTGGATCCGCAGACTACCTTGACAATGTCATGACGAAATTCATTGTCAATAACAGGACAGACGTATGAAAAACTGACGTCAACAATAGCATAACAAATTGTCAAATTGTCCGCTCTTGCTCGTTGACGCATCGCATAAATTATAAATTCATGTGTCTGTCCGCACATTGACGATGAAAATTAGCCAATGAGCGCGCGAGAACTTCTGCAGTTATCGTAAAAAAAGGTTTTACTAATACAACGTTCGTGTGTTGAAATTCCCTATCGCGCTGTAGAAATTGTTTCCTTTATCTTTTATCTAGCCAAAGCATTCTATCGGTCGACTTGCAAGGTGTTTTACTCTGTGATCAAATTTGTTATAAATGGCCTCCGTATTTATAATTCTTAATAGTTTATGTTATATTTGATTTATCTGTTTATTTATTTACAGTGTCCCCAATTCGCACATTTAACAGTGCTAAATACATTTGACACTTAAAGGAGAAAGGAGGACGAAAACCCAATTTTTAAAAAGTCGTTCTTACGAAAGCACATGACACGTCGCAATCAAATCGCTATGTTTTAGGATGTGAACTTACCTTTGAACCTGATTGTAACAGCAAAAAGCTCCGTACCAGAACAATTTGAATGTCGGCCATTTTGGAAGCCATGTGGAAGGCTTGGGCGCATAGCATGACGTCACTGTGCAAACGGGAAAAATGCGCGAATTTCAAGTACTACGTTTTAACTGAGATTGTCGTCAAATCGAATTATATCTAGCACTGTTTGTAGAGCTTGAAATGTTACGTTTATGTATAATCGAATCTTATGTTGGAGGATTAACCGAGCTCAACGAAACGTTCGAAATAAATCTCACAGCTAGCAAATCATTTGTGACCATTTGTGTACATGGCGCTTTCATGTTATTTAGTTCTCTTGGTGCTCTCATTCCTTGACATAAACCCACGATAGTGGTCTCTAGGACTTTCCTTTGTAAACAAATCGTTTGAAAGCGGGGGAGCTGTGTTATACATCTAGGAGTTGGTTGATCTGCCTCTATGTCTGAACCAAAATAATATAAACAAGTTATATCGCAACCATTTCGCTGTCATTTGAGCCTGCCACGCACGCCACGACAAAATACGAAATAAATAATTTAAATCAAACAACACTTTTTCCTACCGAGTCCATGGCTGTTTATTAGCTTCCTAGTGCCAAAATAATTAACATCTGCTGAATACAAAAGTACTATTCACCTGAAATTTTATTATATGTACGGCTTCCTCGATCTCCTTGCAGCGTAAACATTCTTTCTCTTATTGCACTTCCTAGTTCACACGACACTCGCATACACACCACGATGTATTTCCTCTTCAGCTCTCATCTCGACTCTCGTGAACATCGTCTTCCTCTGACTTCGAACTGCCTCGCATAGGTTCAAAAGAAAAAGGCTCGATCTCAGCCATAATCTAAGCTAAATGCAGTTTCGACACAAGATTCTTCACAAATTTTGTTGACATGAAATGCATGTGCGCAGTGATGTCATAACATGGCGGCGGGCATTCCTTTTATGGAATTAACCGGAAGGAAAGATGTCCAAAATGGCGGACGTTCAAATTGAAAAATGACGATTGCTTTTGGACTCTTTTCGTCACTTTCGAAGGGCAAAATTCACTTTTTCTTGCTTTTTACTCCAAATCTAAGCTATTGCAATAGTGTTAAGCTCCCATGTAAAATACGACTCCTAGCCTTCCGTTCTCCTTTAAATAAAGTTCTTCTTCTTCT